ATCTTTTCTCGAAGTGCAAAAGGAACATGCCTCTCAGGCACAAACATTGGTTTTGCAACTTTAGACAGCACATATCAACAGACCAACTTTTTTTCATAAAAATGTCTCAATAATTTTTCACGATTTCGTTGATGGGGTATGTTCCATGAGTGTCACTTTCTTGAGAATCACAAAGTTGATTGCACTACTTGACTGCGTTCGTTTGTTTTCCATCAGACATGTTAGAGTCTAAACGCAACCATAGAGTTGATACGGTCGATCATTCCGAGCTGATTTCCGATATCACAAATTCCACCCTTCCGTGTGATATCAAACGTTGGCTTGCCAACTACCTTAATGGGCGGCAGGCCTTTGTTGAGTTCCGTGGCCAAAAATCCAAATATCGCAAGATCAAAATGGGAGTACCGCAGGGCGGTGTCCTTTCTCCCATTTTGTTCAACATGTATCTTGCGAAACTCCCCATTCCTCCACCAGATGTTTCAGTGGTGTCGTACGCCGATGACTGTACGATTATTTCGTCCGGCGTTAACATTGACGACGTAAGTGCAAGAATTTCCAGCTATCTAGCCACCATCACCAACTTCTTCCGGGAGCGCAATCTAAAATTATCCACTGCAAAGTCTACCGTGTCACTTTTCACTTCCTGGACGCGAGAAGTCAATCTAGAACTTGACATTTCCGTTGAAGGTAGGCGCATCCCCACCGTCCATAATCCGAAAATCCTTGGGGTGGTCTTCGATAGCCTCCTTCATTTCTCCTCGCATTCCAATTACATCAACCAGAAGGTGAAAGCTAGGAATAAAGTTCTGAAAGCTTTGGCTGGCACCTCCTGGGGCAAGGATAAAGAAACGCTGGTAACGACTTATAAGGCTATAGGTCGTTCCATCCTGAATTATGCTGCCCCAGTCTGGACTTCTTTCCTTAGCGACACACAATGGAGATCATTGCAAACTTCCCAAAATAATGCACTCCGAATTGCAACCGGGTGTGTCCAGATGACGAGCGTCGATCACCTCCATGAGGAGACCAGGATGCTGTCAGCCAAGCAACATAATGTGTTGTTGACTAGACAGTTCCTGCTGGCATGCTATCTGCCGTGTCATCCTAACCATCACACTGTGATGGCAGATCCACCTCCGCGACACATCCGCCAGGACTTCAGGCGCTATCGTGATGGCATCCAAGACGTCATTCCATCGGACGTCAACAGATTGTCGATAGCGAATGCGATGAAATCCGTGCATCAACTGGCGGTCTCCGATGCCATAAATGGCTACAGATGCAATAAAGTCCTACAACAACATCCTCCTGCAATTTCGGAAAGTGAGAGGCTTCTTCCTAGGCAAACCCGTTCAATTCTGGCACAACTAAGGTCCGGATACAGCAATGTACTCAACTCGCATCGAGAGCGCATTGTCCCCGGAACCCTAAACAAGTGTCCCTCCTGCCAGCAAAGCCCTCACGACACACACCATTTATTCAATTGTCCGTCCGAGCCTACGAGTCTATTGTCCATAGACTTATGGCTAAAGCCATTAGAGGTGGCACAATTTCTCCGGCTAATATATTTTCCTTAATATATTTTCCTTTTCCTTCTTCCGTTTTCTTCTATCACATTTTTCAGGAAAGAACTTTCGTCAGCAGCCAACCTGTTACAACAACATCAAGTAAAGTTTACTTGTGAAATTATGAATTTGTGTAAAAAGATATTGTCAATCTGTTTTGGCAAAATATTTTTGACATCAAAATACAACACCCGATGTTTGTTGTAGAAAATCGGGGATGCGGCCGCATTCTTTACACTGATATTTTTGATATTTTTAAATCAATTAAACATAATTTTTTCTAAAATACTCACGTCATGTTTGAAGAAAGAAATTAAAACAGTTTTTGTAAAGCTGTGCTAAAACAACCACACGTACTTCTCTCAAATTAGATTTTCCTTTTTTGCCGATGAGCTACGAAATTACAAGTAAAATTTATTGAGTCTCTTCTTCTTTTCGATAACATAGTTTCATGTACAGATAATGATTAGACTAGTTAGAACTATAGACGTCTTATTCTAACACATTGAAGGAGATATGCAACATTGCAAACGATAATATACGTATGATAAATGTTGAAACATGCTGTAAGTCCTGATTTATATTAGGCGAGTTTACTTGCGGCAATTTTTATCGTTCTCTTTTGAACTTGCTCCATGCGTCTATACAGGGCAATTCGGTTTCCAAAAAATTTTTTCATTTGTTGTTTTTTCACATTTAAATATATATAAAATGTCAACAAATGCGAAATACACAAAACGAATTGCCAGAAAATTGTCAGTACGAGCAATTTTTTTTCATTTCTATACCCCTTGTCCCTCTCCTACAAACAAAGACTTGCCGCAAGTAAACTCGCCTAATCTAAATCAAGACTAAGAAAGAGAAAAGGCTTGCTCCCGGCCTATACATTAGCGGAGAGCAATTGACGTCTGCCACAGAGAACAACAACAAGTGGCTTATTTTGATACTTATGCGACACTTGCTAATTATGAGTACAAGTATGTTTTGCCACTTGAACAACAAATTCACTGATTCATCGACTCTCGGGTATGTTTTGTCGAGTCGTTTGCGCATTCGGTTACATTTCTCGGCAAATATTTGACGAAAAGTGTCAAATATTTCTTTGCCATAATCTGACCACAAAATATTTTCAATGGCAAACACAAAAACAGCTGATTTTGGGGTAACAAAATTATTTGACAGTAAACAAAATTTTGCGTAAAGTTTCCACAATGTGAACGCCGACTAGGAAATATTTGCCTTATTTTTGGGCAAACATTTGCCCTTACAATATTTTTGTACGGGCAAACACATGGTACAATTATAAAAGGTAACAGAAAGTCCCAGCTGATTTGATTCCAACGTAATACTAGTGTCAATATGAATTTGAAAAATTATGTTTTTAAAAATCACCCAACAGGAAAATTGGGAACGCATACAATTCGAAATTGTTCTTTATTAAATGTCCTCCCGTATTCATTTTACTCAATCTGCCTGTTGGGAAAGTTTGAGGAAGCAAATCGTTCTTCATTGAATAACTCGCAATTCACTGCATTTTCATATGTGTTGCACATATATATGACAATGGCTCGATTATAGGAAAGATGTGGAAGCGATAGAAATATAAATTTGAAAGATTTTCATTCATGTTTTTCAAATTATATTTTGAGGATTCGAAAATATTTTATTTTCAAAATAAATATAATTTATTTTTTGTTTACATTTTGCTGTCAAATGACGTTGACACTAGTATAACTTATGGTGTTTCTACACGATATGTATTTTACATATGTACTGTCACTTTTTTACATATGGAAATCGAACTCGTCATGTGAAACATACGGAAATTTCAATGTGTCAAAACGATATGCAATTACATATGTATTTTTTCTGAAATACAAATTATTATTTCGTTTGTAGGTGTTTAATAAAAAAATGATGTTGATTTAAGAAAAAATAAGTGTTTTTTTGTTTATAGGTTATGTCATATGTAAAATACATATGCCGATTTGAACACAAAAATAAATGTTTTGTGTACACTGCTAATTTTGACACACATACGGAATTACATATGGATGAAATAAGTGACAGCACATATGTAAAATACATATCTTGTAAAAACACCATTACAAAAACAAATTTCCATGTGGTTGTTGTATCGTTTGTTGTACAACAACACTTGCTGTTACCTTCTATTATTATACCATGGGGCAAACAATGGAAACTAAGAGCTGATGAATTCATTGTGTTGGCATTTATATTGTTGGAATTTCATCATTTCGTTTGTAAACAAAACATTTTTGACACTTTATCTAATTAAATATGGCATTTTTTATGAGTGGAAAACATAATTTCAAGTCCTAGGTACGCTTTCAAACCGAATAAGCTTAATATTGGCATTTCGAATTCAACATAGGTCAACATTTATCTGCGGTATAATGGCAAAGACCGATTTTCGATCTGTTGTAGGTTTTAAACATATTTTCAAGCGATGTGGCCGTGGTTTGCATTTGGAATTTCTATTAAGTAAAAACTTTTATTTTGTATTTCGGGTTCTCAGATGGTAAATCATCTCGTGACATACATTCTAATCTCAACATATGGTCTACACAAACATGATGTTTTGACATATTATCCACATAAATGTCCCGTATAATCCGAATTTTATTACCAAATGGGATCTAATTTGGTGGTGATTATTAATATGTTATGCACGGCTGAACTTAATCGCAAATTTTTTCATCCATTAAGAAAAACTCTTTAAAATGCAATCACTTTTGACGTTTTTTTTTTCTTTCTTTTGTATTTTGATTCGCAAATTTGGCAAAGAAAAATTTGCTAATGGAAAAAACAAGAGAAAATTTCAAAAGAGAAAACAAAAAAATTGCCAAATAAAAATCTGCGGCCTAATCAACCACAGTGAATGTCACCATCAAATCTCAGCTGCATCAAAACAGTTCAAGTTCAGCAGGCTTTCAGTTCTTTCATGTCTCTTTCTATACAAAACAAATATTGTGGCTATTATGCATCACACTTATTCGTAAACAATGGGGTTTACGGTCATTTCGTTTCGGGCTCTTATTTTATTAGTTATTCATTACTGTCTCCTCCTATTGGTTTTTAATTTTGGTTAATTTTAGGGACAACACGGTCATCAAATACTCGCCCATTCCAATTGGATATTTTTTTCCAAAAGAATGTAGACATTTTTAAGGCAAAGTAGGTAAGTTTTTTCATTTCTTCCATGCCTCTTTCTATACAAAACAAATGTTGTGGCTAGTATGCATTACACTCATTCGTAAACAATGGGTCATTTCGTTTCGGGCTCTTATTTTATTAGTTATTCTCTACTGTCTCCTCCTATTGGTAGCGGGTGGAACGCTTTTTATTTTGGCTGATTTACACGACCATAATAAACTCGCCAATTCCAATTGGATATGTTCTCTTTTCAAAAGAATGTTGAAATTTTTAAGACAAAGTAGAACATTTTTAAATGCCAAGGTAAGGTGATTAGTATTCCAAACTTCTGCATTGTTTCCTAATTCTGAATGGTCCCCATTAGGAACCCTGTTGTATTGTGCTGGGTAATGAATCGTGTGATCTCGATTCTGCTGTATCTGCTGTCTCCTTGGCATATTTCTATCAACAAAGTAAAGTGATACCAACAAATTGTGAAACCAATACTAAATTCCTGCCCATTTTAAACATACCCCGAAGGGATTATCCGCTGAAAACCGAAGTCCATTATCTCTTCAAACAATATGCCATTAGCGAAGATTTACTTACCTTTAGAGATGAATTGAGTGAAGAATTTTTACAGAACAATAAATTGGTCTTGGTTGATCATCATGTAAGTGCCTTGTGGAAAAATGCAGTAGCTATTTACGATCATCGTCCCAGAGATGTTATGGCAAAGGTGGCGGATGATTGTAATGTGAATTTACATGTTGTGGGCTCTTGTGCCACACTGATTAGTGAATTGTTTATACAAAACAAGTTCCTTGGAGAGGACGAGCAAATTGCATTGGAACTGTTACGTAGTACAATTGTTTTGGACACGGTAAATTTCTCTGCAGAAGCAGCAAGGGCAACACCAAAAGATATTGAAATATGTTCAATTTTAGAAGATTATCTTAAAGCAATGGACAATTCGTTGATAGCACGAAATGAATTATTTAATGATTTAGTCAGGGCCCGGTCAGATGTCAGTGCCCTGACACCAGCTCAGCTATTGAGAAAAGATCTTAAGCTACTTGCAAATGATAAGGCGGGGAAATTTAAAATTGCCTTGCCAGGATTTCCATTGCCGGTACAGAAATTTATTGAAAAACCAAATGCTGCCGAAGATCTCCAACAATTTGCCAAAGAAAATGCATGCGGTATTATTTTGTTAATGGGTATGTTTGTCGATGCCACAGATAACAGTGTACATCGTGATTTGGGTCTAATAAATATCAATGGAAACCGCCAACTTTACTCGCTCATAAAAGAGACACTTGAAACATCCAAGGAACCTAATTTAGCATTGCATTTGCATCAGGATTGTACATTTATGCAGGGTGTATTTTATCGTCAGGATAATATTAAAGCAACACGAAAACATATTCTACCCATTGTTAAGAATATTTTGGATAATTTTGAAAATTGAAAAAACAAAATAAAATAATATAACAAAATTCTATGTCGAAAAATTGTTTTATAAAAACACTCTGGACAATTGCAGCTCCTGTGTGAATTTTCTACTAATAATCGAGTAGATACCCAGAATTCCAAAACAGGATATCTTAAAAAAATGATGTTAATACTGTTCATTGGCCTTGGAGGCTTTAGTATTGTCTGGTGAAAATAATAAATAAATAAAAACAACGGCTTCTCAGAACATGAAACCAAAATGTTTTGTTATTTCAAAATTTATATTTATTATTTTGTTAAATAATAAAATACATTTCTGTTGATAGTTTTTTTTTTTTAATTCTTGTTTAAAAAGTATCAACTTCATTTTTTTCATTTATATAGTACAATATATATAATTTTACATTAAAATAAAAATCAATATGTATATTAAATAATAGAAACTCCATTATAAAATATATACTCAGGAAACCCCCATTTCTCGCCGTCTTATAATTGCGGTTCCCCTGCAACATCTTCACTTTCGCCCATATCATCATCGGCACATTCCAGCGTTAAATCTTCTAACATTTCAGCCAATGTAATACGCGGTACATTATCCTTAAAGCCCAACGTATCGCCACCATCCACAGGGATTTGTTTTTTGGCATCACGATAAATATTCACCTGTTTACGATAATCCGGATCCTCTTCCAAATCTTCCAAGAATTCATGATAATCCGGTTTACTACGTTCATCGGTGGCCTCTTCAGCCAAATGGCGTAACTTCCACAAACGTTGATTGCTACGTGTATTACGATCTGTGTAGCATTTCTTAACCAACACCACATCGGGAATTTGCTCCGCATTCAGTTTATCATATTCCGTATCGTTGATATTTGCCTCACCCAAATTATAACCCATAACCGAATCACCAACTTTCAGTAAATGACCCAAATGACTACGTGTGTGTATGGGATTGTCGTTAATACCCAGTTCGGAGGCCCTTACAACCCATATATCACACAAAACATGCCGGAAAGACAACTGGCCCTGACCGGGATAATATTTACGATCCTTGTCCATGATGATTTCCACATCCATTACAATATATTCCACAAGTTGTTTGGGGTTACAAATCGCCTCAAAGGGAGAACGGAAATAAGCCTGGCCAGATACTTCAGCAATTTGTGCAGTCATTGGATCAATCAAATGTATGCCACTGGTGACTTTATTGATCAAACAAATCGGTGATAGATTACCTAATTGATGGCGCAACTTCTTCGGCAGGCAAACAGCACTGTCTTTGGACAGCGGCACAATTTCCACCGACCATGTATATTTATAATTGAAACTATTACTGTGTATATCGTGAGAGATGAGACGCTTGGACGATGTCACCTTTACCGGTACCATTGTCTGCAAGAAGTCGACCATTTTACGGGCATGGTTTTCACTTGCATAGTAGAAATCCAAACCTCCATGCATAGGTTTTATACCCAAGGTATTCTCATGGGCCTTGTGTTTCAAAATCAATTGTTCCAAATAGAAGAATGTCTTCTTGTTCTCAGCTCTTTGGCGTACCTGCACCATACAACGCCAAAAATCTTTAGCTTCCGTACGATGACAATCATCGCACATTTGATTTTGTACCGTGAATTCGACAATGAACACTTGTTGTAGAACTGTTCCTCCGGATACTTCACCATGTACGGTTAATTTTACCTTGATACGTTTCGAATGCGCCTCGGTCCAAACAAAACCAGCATCAACAAGTTTAACCTCCTTCAGGCCCTTGAGTTTTTTCAAACACAATGCCAATAGCTCACGTGATTCCAAGGCAGCTTGTATCCATTCTCCCGGTGGTTGCAAATATCGCTCACAGTTGCGACAGAAATGCAGAACAGCCTGCTTGGGTATGCCTTCCGTGATGTCAACATGATTTCGAAGGCAAGTGACACACATATTTGATGGATTTGGTTGTATAGGAACACCACATTCACAACATAACACCATTGAGGTGGGTGTATTGTTGGCTGTGGGGCCAGTGGCATTAGCACCAGCAGAAAAATCGACGTATTCCATAATTTACACTCGCGTTATACTTATTTTTCTAATTTTATCAACGAAATTCACAATATAAAACGATGTGTTCGGCCACAATGAAAACAACAAACACGTGTAAAATGTATAGGGATAAGTAAATCGATTTTCGACTTTTTTTATGCCGTTACTACAATAACCTAAAAACGGGGTGTTGCTTGTATGTGGACGGAAATTGTTTGGCATAATTAATTGGCTTCAATATTCAATAAAAACAGGTAATTCAAAAAAAAATTAAAAAAGATTGTTATAAATACATATAAACGTGTGCTTAAAAATTGAAATTTTATAAAATAAATGAAATGAAAAACAACAACAAATGTGTTTAGGGTACATTAACACCAATGTCTATATAATAGGTTATCCAGTAAGAGCAGCTGATATCTACATATTTAGTCGAACCTTGTTGTTTTGATTCGAATTTCAATTAAAACCCGTAGGTTCAGTGTTGTGCTTTTTGGTACATGATTTTTGGTACATGATTAACACCAAACATGTTTCACGAAAATTATTTAATGTACAAACGAAATTATGAATTAAATGTCAATTAAATTACAGTTTTGAAAACACTATCGGTGTAAATGCACACTAATAGCCGTTAAGATTACTAAATCCACTCGGTTTCAAATGTCAATCCCATAACGTTCACATCACCTTAACCCTTTGTGGCCCAATGTTGCCCACTAGCAACAAAATGTTTTAGAGCTTATATTTAATATGCTGCTAGTAGATATATACTCTTTGAATTTCGTAAGCAAAGACCTGATTCATGGTACAATTATAAAAGGTAACAGCAAAACCCAGCTGATTTGATTTCAATGTAATACTAGTGTCAATATGAATATGACAAATCACCCTACAGGAAAATTGAGAAAGCATAGATTCCGAAATTGTTCTCTATTAAAAGTACATCCGTATTCAATTTACTCAATTTGCCTGCTGGGAAAGTTTGAGGAAGCAAATCTTTCTTCATGGAATAACTCGCAATTCCCAGCATTTTCATATGTGTTACACATATAAGTGGCAATGGCTCAATTATAGGAAACATGTGGAAGCGATAGAAATATAAATTTAATAGGTTTTCATTCATGTTTTTCAAATTTTATTGTGAGGATTCAAAAATATTTCATTTTCAAAATATATATAATTTGTTGATAATTTGTTTGTTTGTTTACATTTTTCTGTCAAAAGACACTGAAACTAGTAAAACTTACAACAACAAATTCTGTTACCTCCTATTATTATACCATGGGTCTCAACGCTCTCTTATATATATTTTTTAACAATTAATGCATGAACATATCGATTCTGTCTTTTCTAAACACAGTGTTAGCTTAACGCCGTTTGGTTTTGTCATTTTGTCAGCTGTTTTCTTTTGTTATGATTTTTGTTTTTGTTAACAGCTGTTGTGCATGCCGTCTTTCGTCGTGTTGTTGTTGGATCTGTGGAGCTGCGGCGTATGGTTTCCCCGGTTGGACTTCAAAAAGAGAGAACGAAATAGAATTCATAAATAAAATATTCGTAAAATAATTACAACAACATGTTTTTACGACCCATTACAAATCTACGAATACTGCAGAGGATGTCTCCTTTAATGCAGCATAACTGGGCAAGCACAATGGCTGTTAAAAGTTATGCAACCATTGGGAAGAGGCAGTCCTCCTTTGCACGAACAAATGAGATCCGGTATTCACAATATTCTACAACCACGGCGAGTTCCAATCAGAAACCCAATGTTGCCGTGGCCACAGAAGAAAATCTCTCCCGACATTCGATGGCAAGTGTTATGGGTAGATTGGATTCATTTTATCAATGGAATGGTTTTATTGGCGCCGAACAACTGCAACCGGTTTTGGAACAAATGAAAGCTCGCGGTGGACAATTGAGCCATGAACAGGGTTTGTTTTTGTTGAATATTTGTGGCTGTGAAATGCCTTCGATTACACCGGCCGAAAGAATGGCCAAATTCCAAGAGGTGTGGCAGTATTTGCAGGAGGCCGATATGATTACCCGAGACCACTATCACATTATGTTAAATGTCTTGCAATACAATCAACATCCGCTGAACGATTATAAGACGCTGGTGCAGGAATATGAAAAATTAGGGGGTTCGACAAAAGAAATCTATTCCGATCTGCTGGCCATTGCTGGTGCAACGGGAAACGTTAAACAAACCACCGAATTATTGGCTGAAATGCGTACGCTACAGTTACCCTTGTCGGAACGTGATTTTAATTCCCTGTTATTGGCTAATGCTCGGGCCAAAGATATGAAAGGTTTTGAGACGGTCAAGGATAGTATGCATGCTGCAGGTTTATCATTGAGTTTGAATACCCAATCGACATTGTTTGTGGCCTTTATGGAGAATGGTGATAGGGATAAGGCCTTAGCCATATTGCAAGATTATCGAGGACAATTTGAACCCGATCAGGTGTTGAGCATGTTGCGTAGTATACACCAATCAGCAATAGGGTCGGAAGATTTGGTTAAACAATTGGTGAAGGAGTTAAGGCCGGAATATGTGAAATGTGTTGAGGTGCCGTTGGCTTTGCGTCGCGTTTGTGTGGAGTTTTTGCATAACAAGTGAGTGTTTAAAATTAACATGGTTTTCCAAAATATCTTAAGTTGTTTTTTATTTCAGCAAACTGGATTATGTCATGGCCATCATTGATGCCTTACCCAATCCCAAATTCCAGGAGAACCAAAGCATTGACACCTATGGTGTATTTCTATTGCATGCCCTATTCCGTGCCAATTGTGAGGTGGAGAAGATCATTGAAATTGCCACACGCCTAGAGGAGTCGGAGAAAAATTCCCGTGCCTTATATATTGCTGCTGAAATTGCCCTTCGACGTTCCCCGCCCATGGTATTGCCTATATTCGAAGAGCTGCAAAAAAAGGGCCAAACTATTAAGACCCACTTTTTTTGGCCCCTGATGATGTATAATTTTAGGCGCCACAATGAGTCGGGTATTTTGAGAACTTTGAAAATTATGCAAAATTTCAAAGTGGAGTGTGATCACGACACAATTTGCCAGTATGTGCTTCCAAGATTGTCCATAACCCTGACAAATCCACAAATGGCCCTCAAACAATTGGAAGAGGCTGGCATTAAGACATCATTGGTAATGACACCCATTGTATCGCATATGTTGACCCAAAGTAAATGGTTTGATGTTGTGCCGCTGGTCGAGGCCTATCCAACCAAATTGCAAGTATCCGATCTCATAACACCGCTGGTAAGTGTGGCGGTGCATGTACGGGCCACCAAACGTTATCATCACTTTGCCAAGCTGATAAATGCATTGGCAAATAAAAATATGGAAAGGCAACAGGATGTAGTGGGACGATTTCTAATTGAATTGCTTAGCAGTCAGGCACGAGTGCGTTCCGATCTCAATTGTGTGCAACGTCTGCTCAACGAACTGAATAAATGTAATGTGAAAATATCAGCCACTGCTGTAGCCACAATAACATCGTTATTGAATCAAACAACCAACCTGGAAGGGAATAGCAATAGTATGCAGAATATTACACAGTCGTTAAAGGATATGACTAAACGCTCCTTAAGTCTGCATAATTCCTCATCGGGCGATGAAGATCCCATGACTTCGTCATTTATAAAACATCCAAGAGATATGAATTTGGATGAGCTAGAATGTCATTTGGTTGAATTGGAGGCGAAGCAGATGAATACACGCGGTGTGCTGCGGCGTTTGCTGCAGTTGTGTGTGCGGGAAAATCGTTTGGAGCGGGCTCTGGAAATTAAACAGAAATGTGATAAGCTACAGGTTCAAACAAGTCCCGGCATGTTGGCCAGTATATTTGATATGTATACGAAATTGAAGGATTTACCAAATGCCCAGAAATATTTGAAGACCATCAGAGAAACTTATCCGGGTAGGACGATGTCTCTCCCATTTAAATTTTAATATCTTTATTTTAATAAATATTCTTTTATTTTAGGTTTCCAAATTGATGAACACAAATTTGTTGACTATGCCGCATTGTTGGTTTCCTGTGGCCAATTGGATGCGGCCAAAGACCTGCTGGAAGATCGCTCTCTAAAGCATCGCATTGTGGGCGGTGATTATATATTGAAAAACGTTTGGAATTTCCTGACAAATGTTGCTCAATATGCTGCGACACAAAGCGATTTATCACCCGACCGTAACTTGACCCGAGAAACCTATGCATTTTTACAAAAATTGGGCTATTGTCGTACCCATAATGCCATATTGGGTCCAATTGTTCGTGAACGTTTACTGCGCAATGATTTGCCGGGTGCCCTAAGGGAATTTAAACAATTGGCCACACAATATAAACACACACCGTTACAATTTGAATTACTCTCCCTGATTGTTCGACTCTGCAACAGCAGTGAAGAGGAAAGGCAAAAATTCAATTGTACCACCGAACAAGCTCAACAATATCTAAGCGAAATAACCGAAATAATAACAAAAATCCATGGCAATGTTAATATGAACAGTGGTCTGCTATTGGCATTTGCCGAATCCGGTTCCGACAATCAATTGCGTCGTCTGTTGTTAACACCCGAATTCCGGGTAAATGAAGATTTACTGCTGCGAAATTGTGAACATTTGGGTAAGGAGGGTGCTGTCAAGACATTGCTACGTTTGGCCCGCGGTGCCCGTGGCCTGAATCGTGTCATTGATGAACAAAATATCTATAATATGTTATTGAATAATTTCACCAAAGCAAATGATTATCAGGCCGCATTAAACCTCTACGAACGTTTGGAGGCCGATGATGAAATGAAAATATCACAAGATTTCCTTAGGAATCTTGTTAATCTGCTTAAGGCGAATAATGTTGAAATACCCAGTAATGTGGCTCTAAGAGCGAGAATTGTATAAAAGAGAGAGAGGATGGCTTTCTCTTTTTATTATTTGTTGTATTAGTTTCTTTTTAGGTTAGAAATTTATTTTACTATATTTTTGTTAGTAAAACTAAACAGAATAAAATTGAAAGAAAAAATAAAATATATGAAATAAGATTTCGTTTTTTTAAGGCATGGGAACTAAAGGACCATAACATTAGTCCTTTAAAAATATTTCTATAACCCAATCACGAAGCAAAAAAATTACTGATGAATTTCGAATATTTCCCATTTAAAAAATTCGCAAGTAAAATCAATTCTCAAAGATTTCCCTAAAATTTCCAATTTGGTGGAAAAAACGTGCCGAAACTTTCCAAAATACTACCCGTAAAAGTAGTTGATAATTTTTGGTATGGATTTATATGATGGCTACCCTAAAAAGTGGACAATACTCATAATTTTTGATATGACGATTTTTAAACACATGAGAACCCAAAATACTGAATTACAGACAATTCGCTTGGAAAACAAGCTCAAACTCCCCAAAATAACGATTTTTGGAGGTTATGTTATATGGCGGGCACACTAAAAGTTTGACCAACGTTTATATTGTTTGGTAGGGAGTTATGTTACCTAATGAGAATCCGAAATACTGAATTACAGCCAATTCGCTTGGAAAACAAGCTCAAACTCCCCAACATACCGATTTTTTGGAGGTTATGTTATTTGGCGGCATACTAAAAATTTGATCAATGTTTAAAATTTTTGATATGATGATTTTTAAACACCCAAAATACTGAATTACAACCAATTCGCTTTTAAAACAAGCGCAAACTCCCTAACATACAGATTTTTTGGAGGTTATGTTATGTGGCGGGCACACTAAAATTTTGACCAATGTTTATAATATTTGGTAGGAAGATGTGTTATCCAATGAGATTCCAAAATACTAAATTACAGCCAGTTCGATTGGGACACAAGCTCAAACTCCTTCAAATGTCGATTTTTGGAGGTAACGTTGTATGGGGGCTACCCGAAAAAGTAGACCAATATTGATAATTTTTGGTAGGAAGTTATGTTACCCTAATGAGAACCCAAAATACTGAATTACAGACAATTCGGTTGGAAAACAAGCTCAAACTCCTCAAAATAACGATGTTTGGAGGTTATGTTATATGGCGGGTACATTAAAAGTTTGACCAATGTTTATAATTTTTGGTAGGAAGTAATGTTACCTAATGAGAATCCGAAATACTAAATTACAGCCAACTGGGTTGCTGGTTTTGAGGTTATGTTATGTGGCGGGCACACTAAAGGTTTGACCAACGTTTATAATGTTTGGTAGGGAGTTGTGTTACCTCATGAGAATCCAAAATACTAAATTACAGCCAACTGGGTTGGAAAACAAGCTCAAACTCCCCAAAATACCGATTTTTGGAGGTTATGTTATGTGGGGGCTACCCGAAAAAGTAGACCAATATTGATAATTTTTGGTATGATGATTTTTAAACACACGAGAACCCAAAAAAAACCGAATTACAGCCAATTCGTTGAAAAAACGTGCCCAAACTCCCTCAAATGCCGATTTTTTGAGGTAACGTTGTATGGGGGCTACCCGAAAAAAGTTTTTTAACCCCATGAAAACATAGTCCGTGAAAAAAATTCATTTGTAAATGCACCCTTGATTTTTTTTTCAAAACAAGTCTTCAATTATAAATTTTCTAAATATTTTTTTTTTCACTCATTAATAATTAATATCGATTTTTAAATTTATTTATTTTCTTTATTTTTTATTTTTAATTTAATGCATTTATATTTTTTATTTATTTTATATTATATATATTTTTTAGCAATTGTAGTATTTTTTTTTTTAATTTATTTCATTATATTAGTTCATGTATTTTTGTTTTGTTTTTTTTTCTTCTTTTTTTAATTTATTTTTATTATATTAAGTTACTAACTAAATCTTATGACATAAACATGTATGTATATTTATATAATTATTTAATATTCATTTTATTTACTGATACGTTTTTTTATTTTATTAAAGTTTTATTTACATTCTACATGGGTAACTTGAAAAGGAATTTGGTTTCGGAAATTTTTTTTGAAAAAAAAAGATTAATAAAAATTAAAAAAATATATATAAAAAATAAAATAAAAATATAAAAAAAATAAAAAAAAAATATAAAAAAATAAAATTAAAAATAAAACAATGAAACAAAAAATAATATAAAAAAATAAAAAAAAAAATTAAAAAATGGAATAAAAAATAAATATATAAAAAAATAAAATATATATAAATATAATATATATATATATATATATAAAAAAATTAAATAAAAAATTAAAAAAAATATATATATATATAAATAAAATAAAGAATATTATAAATAAAATAAAAAAAAAATAAAATTATTAATTCCTAAAAAATGGTTTGTTTACATCTGAAATTAAAAGAAATTAATGAAAAATTATTAAATCCTAAAATGAGGTTAACACCATTTACAGCTGAGTAGGAAATACCCAACTGCGGCCAACTTCGGGTTCTACCTGTAAACAAATGGTGGAGACTTTAACAAAAAATCTTTGGAATTTCCGAAAACTTTCCCCTCGAAGTTAGCAACAAAATAAATATGCCGTTTCATTAATATACAAAAAAATATTTGCTTTAAAAATCTACACCAGTTGGGTACTTGAAAATTTATTTTCCTTAAAAATAATGAAAAAAATAAATTATAATTGAAAAAAATTTCAAAATCACAAATGAGGTTAACACCAATTACAGCCCCCATAATCGACTGTAAAAAAATGGTTGGAAAGTCCCCCCATAATCGACAATGGTTGGAAAGTAGGAGTAAAAACCACTTTTGACTTCAATCATTTTTGGCAGTGACTAAAATGGAGAGCGGTAGAACAATCCATACTGAGTAACTGACAAGAGGAGAGAGAAAAAAAGAAAACTGTTTTGAAATTATTATTTAATTTTGGTGGGAACTACAATAAAAAAACTCTTTGGAATTTCCGAAAACTTTTCCCCTCGAAGTTAGCAACAAAATAAATATGCCGTTTCATTAATATAAAAAAAAAAAAATATTTTCTTTAAAAATCTACACCGACTTCATGAAGTCAGAATAGCAATCAATTGGCTGAAGAATAATAAAGAAGCAGGTGCCGATGTGTTACAAGCCGAAATATTCAATACTGGTGGTCTAATGGTGGTCAGGAGCATGCACCAGCTAATTAGTACAACGTGTCTAGAAGAAAACAAGCCCAATCATTGGAACCTCAGCATCCTGTGTCCCGTGCACAAAAGTGCCCGCATATAAAGTGCTATCTAGCATGCTGTGTGAACGACTGAAGCCAATGGTCAATGACATTATTGGACCATACCAATGTGGCTTCAGACCTGGCAAATCCACCATTGACCAGATTTTCACTCTGCGCCAAATCCTGAAAAAACCCCACAAAAACCACATTGACACATACCACCTATTCGTCGACTAAAAAGCTGCATTCGACAGCCCTATCCGTTCAGAGGTGTTCAAAGCTATATCTGCGTTCGGCATTACTGCAAAATTAATACGGCTATGCTGGATAACTTTAAGTGGCAAAGGAAGGAAAGGACCTATCGACGCCCTTCAATACCGAACGAGGATTCAGGCAAGGTGATCGTGTGACCTTTTTAACATCCTGGCACGATGCTGTACACCAAACAATACATGTTACTCGCCTGCGCCGCCAATGACATCGACATAATGGGTCGAACATTGAGAGCGGTAACAACCACCATTGAACAAATTGAGAAGGAGTCTGCCAAAGTGCGACTGACAGTAAACGGCGAAAAGACCAAGCTGATGGTATCAACGCGCAAGACACGTCTAGTAGACTCGGACCAACTGTGGAACTTGAGAACTACAGCTTCGAGGTAGTCAAAGATTTTATATACCTTGGTACCGCCATAAATAAAAGGAATGACATCAGTTTTGAAATTCGGAGAAGAATAGTGATGGCCAAACTATGCTACTATGGTCTGAGCAAACAACTCAAACGCAAGGCCACCTCCCGCCAGAACAAACTCACACTCTACAAGACGCTGATACTACCCGTGCTGTTATAAGGATCTCAAGCATGGGTACTTACGCAAGCAGATGAGGCAGCTCTTGGAGTTTTTGAGAGAAAAATTCTCCGAAAGATCTATGGGCCGATTTGCGTTGACGGTGAATATCGCCGTCGAATGAACCATGAGTTGTACCAGCTATTCTCATCGACATCGGCATTGTTAGACACGTATTGAGCTGCAGCGACTACGTTGGCTAGGTCATGTTGTGAGAATGGATGAAGATGCCCAGCCCAGAAGGTATATAAAAGCGAACCAGCGCTGATGGTTCACGCAGAAGGGGAAGGCCAAGAATACGTTGGAAAGATCAAGTCGAAGAAAACTTCGCCTAAAATGGTCTTTCAAAAAAAAATTGTTTTCTTTAAAAATGCACACCTGTTGGTACTTGATAAAATATTTTTTTAAAAATCCACGCCTGATGGGTCCTTGAAAAAATATTTTCTTGAACCTTGAAAAATATTTTCTTTAAAAATCCACGCTTAAAGGTCCTTGAAAAAAATATTTTCTTTAAAAATCCACACCCAAAGGATGGTATTTGAAAAATATATTTTCTTTAAAAAAGGTCATTGAAAAAATATTTTCTTTAAAACTTCACGCCTAATGGGCATTTAAAAACATATTTTTTTTTAAATTGCTTAAAAAAATATTTTCTTTAAAAATAAAAAAATAATTTTCAGGAACTTTTGAAAATTTAAAAAAAAATTAAACTTTTTCTTTTTGGTATATTAATGAACGGCATAAAAAGTTTTTTTTTTGTATTAATATATATATATTTCTTTAATTTAATTTTTTTTGTTGGTTATAAGCAATATTTAAAGAAATTAAAAAAGAAATAGCAATATTCCTTTATGTTTTTTTTTTTTGTTTTTGCTTATAAAAAGATTACATTATTATACTATATATTAATATATATATGTTA